TTATCGACCCTGAACCAACACAAAGCTGTAATGTGTCGAAATAAGGATTTAAAATGTTTGTTAGTTGTATTTTATACAGTAAACACATTTATCACACCCCACATGAACATTTTGGGTATTGTGGATCCTCCCACATATATACACTGACAGGAAGGCAGGAGAACAGCCCTGTATCTACAGACGATATTGAGTATAAACGGTCATCAGATTTCCCTACCCCGCTATCTATCCCACCCACTCAATATACTCAGCCTATTGTGTCTATGTATGACCAGCCACCTACCACGGGGCCGTCGCCATTAACTGATCGACTCCCAAACACCAGCAGATGACGGTCACTCCCGATTTTTATCAAAGTTTTCTGAAATGTTGGCACCGTCCTTGGCGTCTTTGGTTTCTCACCTGCTACTTGAGCCAATGAAACCCCCAATTGACCAGGCGGTCAGCGATGCCCTGTCCAATGACAGAGCTATTAATTACTGCGGCTTGTTTCTTCCAAGGTCAATACGGTCACCACACACACATAAGACTGGAAGTCCAGTGTCAAGTTTCCAGAGATTCTGATCTACGTCAGTCTGTTTTTTTCCCTGCAAATTGATCTGGAGGAACAACAACAATACACCAGGCTAGGTGCATTGAAGTTCTATAATGTGCCCACAGACAAACTTGTTAACAAGTCTGACACCTACCAAGTTGTAATTGATATTTGAAACAAACCGAGGGTTAATATTTCCAAAGATGATATTTCTAGAACCCACACTATTGGGAAGGTCCGGAACAACAAGGTTTCGATTATTTCTAGATTCGTTCGATATACAGACAAGCAGGCTGTGTACAGGGTGAAATCTGATCAGAAATCCATGTTCAAAGACAAAGAGTGTCTTACCCCATATCGTCAGTGATTCGTTTAAGCTAAGCAGATTGTGGAAGGATAACATTATTGAGTCCCATTGGATAATGGATGGTCCTATCTACGCCTCCTACCTCCTACGAGTGTGTAAACGCCATTGCTGGTTATTGTCGGAACCCAGCTCATCCTTTTTCGTACATCCTCAAGTGGTCCGATGTCACCTCCTACTGATACTCCTATCCAGTCTGCTTCCTCAGAATCGGTCACGCTTCGCCAGTCAACCATCTAGCACTCGTGTTTCAGGTAGTGTCATCTGAATGAGACATTCACGTGCTATGACCCTATTCAATCAATCAATCAATCAATCAATCAATCAATCAATCAATCAATCAATCAATCAATCAATCAAGTTTATTTCCTTAAGTTATACAACTTTTCGGTAACATATAATAACACACATGATAATATATATAATACATAGTAAAAACACGGGAACTACATCATACCCACTATTTAGACACAAACAATCAGTTATATATATTCTCATTGTTACCATAATTTACATTAATACCTGATGATGAGACGTACCGACAACCCAACTACATCTACATCATCATAATAATAACATCGTCATCATCATCATCATCATCATCATCATCATCATCATCATCATCATCATCATCATCATCATCATCATCATCAACAACAAAAAACATAAGAAAAAAAATACTTCTACGTTTGTTCGCTTCAATAATGTATTTGCCCAGTAAATTCAAATCTTTCAAATTATGTGTGTTCAATAATTCTATAACTTTGAAAACAGATGGCTGATACCAGTAGTATTGTTTAATGTATTTTCTCCTAAGATCGGAATGTATGGAACAGGTAAAAAGAAAATGGAATTCATCTTCTACTTCTAATAGGTCACAATTATTACAAAGTCTATTATTCCCATCAGTATTTCTATATCTACCAGTTTCTGTAGCTAGGTTATGAGCTGATAAACGAAGTTTAGAGATAACAATTCTGCGCTGTTTTGGTAAATATTTGGTTAAATAAAACTGAAACGCAAAGCAAAAAGTGCTTTACGACCTTGGTCAGCTAAATGTTTTACCATACTACCATATTTGTTATCAAACCTTAGCAAAAATCCTAAGTAACAAAACTGATCAACTACCGAAATGAGGTTACCATCATACCTCCAGTATTCTGATTCCTTAATACGCCCACCATTTCTGAAAACAACAATTTTTGTTTTATTGGTATTAACTGATAATTTTCATTTTTTGAGTAATTGCATAAATTGTCCAAAAGACTTTTCAAACCTTCGACTGTTTCCGAGAATAAAACCAAGTCATCTGCATATAATAATAAAAATAATCTCAATTCCCCAAAATCATAACATGTTGCACCATTTTCAATAAACTCGTTTTCAAAATCATTAATGAACAATGAAAAAAGTAAAGGGGGATGAAAATTTCCCCTTGCATCAATCCGACATTATTAGTGAAAAAAAAATGAACGTTTTCCATTAACTAAAACACATGACGTAACTAATGAATAAAGGGATTTATTGGTCGTCAAAAATTTATCTCTGACACCAAGCTTGGTTAGCTTAAACCATAAGGTTACTCTATTGAACAATACATTCTGTTTCCAGATAATTCGGTTGAAAGCCGTTTAGTACAGGTTGTCGGTGAAGTCAGGTTTCACCATCATCATATATATATAAATATCACTGTGCATGGTATATTACAATACATTTTGTTTCCAGATAATTCGGTTGAAAGCCGTTTAGCACAGGTTGTCAGTGTAGTCAGGTTTCATCACACACACACAACCCCAAACACACGCACACGCACACACACACACACACACACACACACACACACACACACACACACACACACACACACACACACACACACACACACACACACACACACACATCACTATGCATGGTATATTACAGTATTTTGTTTCCATACATTGTGTCTGGTTCGGTTGATAACCGTATTTCAGAGGTTTTCAGTGAAGTCAGAGTCACAGTTGTCTGTTGAAGACAGGTTTAATCTTATTGTACTAATGTACAAAGTGTCTCATCTTTTGCATGTACATATATATATATATATATATATGAAATCCGTTTTTTACTGCTATTCAGTGTAGACAGGTTTCGTCGTTTACATTTACATAACTTTGTATATTATGTTTTATTACTACTTTGTTTTGAACTGGCAAATAATATTCGCTTTTCAAAGATTGTCGAATTGAAGGGGTTTTCAGTTTCATACAGATGCATAAAATATGTACGCTATGATATACTGTTTTCATATCTTCTGACATATTCAACGGGAAATTAAACAGTGATTTTGTCTTGACCTGAAAATGTCTTTTTTCATAATCTGTCTTTGTAGAAAGTCTCCACCTTATTTGGAAACCTTGAATCACAATGTTTTTGTTTTACCACAACCGGTCTATTATATCCGGATAAGTAAAGATATTCTTGTCATGTCTGGAGGATAAGTTAACTATAAAGACTGTCGGTTTAAACAGGTATATTTCATATACCGACAAGAAATATTTGTTTTTGTATAATCACCATATGTCTGTTTAGCTGGCGAAGTACATATTTTCTAGACTTTTCCAGTTAATATTTGTTTTCGTTTTGTACACTGAACTAATAACTGATTTAATGTCAACTTATTAACACTTTTACCGATTAAAACCGCATCGTGTGTTACTACTTAAACTGTATCTTTTTACTAGGAATGACACGAATACTTTGATATTATTACACAATGTCTGTTGTAGTCCGTACACTGTCAGTGTTTAATATATTTAACACTTTTTAGAATGATAATAGTATGTACAACTTTACTTCCATACTCCTCGTTGACATGCATTAGTGAACATGTGCCAGTTCTAATTTAACGACGGGACCATTCTTGCACGGACGGGGAAGTGGAACTATTTTTTTATAAATGGAAGGAGTGTTTTTGAGAAAGTTAACTTACTAGGGACGGGATGTCATTAACTGCTGACCAGCTGAATGCTTGGAACAGTGAAACGGTGTAACGCTTGTATTTTCCGTGTGGAAAGGGACCCTACTCTGAATAAGTGATTATATCAAAGTAGTATGTTCGTACGTTCCCATGAAGTCACGTCATCCAGGTACAAGTATTTATGAAATCTTCCATTGGTAATTTATATTGTTTCCTAAAAGAGTTTCCTGTAAAATGAATGCACGAATGAATTCCACTACAGGTCTTTTGATATTGATTATTGATTTTGAAGTTACTTACCAATATACATATATATGTATAAATCACTTTACCGCTATACCACGGCCAGTTCATTAGTTATAAAGAAAATTTGTTGCAAGTTCACAAATCTTTTTTTATATGTATTTTCCCCTGTATCTTTTGTATTTCCTTATCTGTTAGGTGTCTACTATTTCCCTGAATAATGTTTCATTCTCACTTTCCTTATCTGTTAGGTGTCTCTACTATTTCCCAGAATAATGTTTCATTCCAGCTTTCCTGATCTGTTAGGTGTCTCTACTATTTCCCTGAATAATGTTTCATTCTCACTTTCCTTATCTGTTAGGTGTCTCTACTGTTTCCCAGAATAATGTTTCATTCCAACTTTCCTTATCTGTTAGGTGTCTCTACTATTTCCCTGAATAATGTTTCATTCTCAATTTCCTTATCTGTTAGGTGTCTCTACTATTTCCCAGAATAATAATTAAGAAATGCCAACGATTTTATCTTACCAAATTTCTGACTTTCCTCTATTAATTCATCCTTTCTTCTTGCTGCTCTTTGTTCTTGGATTAAACTTGATGCTGCTGCTAGATCGTCAACAACTTGCAGAAAATTTAAAAACTCCATTTCACGAAATCAAAAGATATTTTCCCCCAGTTACACTGGATATGTTGAGCGCAAACTAAACATTATTCATAACAAAAAATACGGTATAACTGTAATTCACCTAGTGTACCTAGATTACGGTATAGTATTAATTAATATTAATTATGTTTCCTTTCTTATTAAAAAAATCGGAAACCCGGTCAAAATTTGTCGCTTAGTTTTTGAGATATTTGTCGTTAAATTCACCGTTCGGAACCGGTTTGCACCTGTCGATGGAGGCTAATTAACACACTTCCCAACTTCCGGTTAACAGACCGGAAAATCCCGTGACGTCACAAGGGTAGCGCTTGGTCTAAGAAATGATAATGTCGGACAGTGATAACAGCGAGTGCGAGTGGTTCGAAGACTCAAACAATTCGGAAGAATGCAGCCTGAATTTAAGCTTTGAATCTTCTGATTACGACACGGAGGTTATAGAGAGACAAGCTGGTATTCAACCATACCAATTTGAACCCGAGGTAGATGGTGAAAGCAGTCCATCTTCACCTGCGTCGTCTACACGTAGCGATGATAATGCTGATCGCCTGGGATCCTTAGACTGGTATGTTCAGAGATGTTAGCTTTCACGTATGATTATTTTTTTTCCAGGAATTTTCCCTTTTCAAAATGCATCGTGCATGTTAACAAATGCGGATTTTCAGGATTTTTTCTCCACTTGCTCAACCTCACAAGTCCGACTTTGTCGAGATAATAACAGCCAATGCCTTTTTTTTGCATTTACAATTATTTGACTTTTACATAATACCCACCCCTAAATATTTTGTGTTACATAAATTAATGTGCATAGCATTTCTTTTTACAAAGGAGAACATTTCCTGGAAACAAAGTGTATTCTTTTGCTATGTCAAATGGTACTGGTATGTACTATAAAGTGTTGAATAGAAAACTTCTAACAAGACATTTTAAAGGTATTTTCACACCAACATACTAGTGAATTATGTATAAAACACAGAAAATTTTATATGTTACAGGTGTCTTTGCGGTAACTGCAGTCTTATGCCTACCATTGAGGAGTGCAGGTGCTGTAGTGAGATACACAGTGTACTGAACACAAAAGACGACATACCAGGGATACAGTGCATAACAGACCATCCTGGATTTGGGCCAGTCTGTTTGGATATTTATGTGCTGAGAACATCTTATTTCCAGTACAGACAACTTCATGGAGAGATACCAGAATGCCCTGAGTAAGTTATGATGTTTATCTACAGCATCAAATTTATTATTATAAAACTTGAAACATAATAAAATAATTCATTTGTTAAGAAGATATTTTAAAAATGATGTTACAAACTTGTCTATCAAGTTACAGGTCTAAAATACTGCAAAAGAACCAATAACCAGACAAGATAAAATAGATTTTCAATAATAAGTCAACATTTCTGAAAATCTGGTTTGGAATTGTTACACATATGTATTGTAGAGTTACTTGTGTTTACCATAATTCACTAGTGCTTGCATCCTCCGCAGATTAATGGCAAACTTGGCATTAACAATGATTACAGAATATATTGTTCTTGTTTTATCAGGAGATACCGCTATACAGCATACAGACAATTTGTGAGATGGTGTTGGGGGTACTTGGGAAAAAGCATAAGAGTGCCATTACCTGCGTGTGCTGTGAAGATTATTAGAGAAACATTTCCTGCACCAAATGGAAATTTTAAAGGTTTTAATTTTGTGCATTAAAAATATGTGTTGAAAACATTGAAAGAATGACATGAAACAATAAAATTATAATTGATATCTGATTGTTGTTTTTTATTCATATATACACTTGAAACTGTAATAGGATCTGTAAGTCTCGTCATGTGACCTACTAGAACATACCACTTAACTTGAACAATCATAACTATGAAAACGGAGGATTACCAGTAGGTACGTTTTTAAAAACTCCTTGGGAAATGTGCATTTTGTCGAAATTGAAAATACTTTTCTTCTATAAGACTACTACCTAAAACGTCAGTTGGTACACAGAAGTAAAGTAAAACAGACTTGCAGACCATATAAAAAAAAGATGAAAATTCATGTACATGTATGTATTTTAAATGTTCAAGTTAAATCTTGATTCCATCAATGCGACAGCTTCCATTTTTACAGGTCTGACAAAATCACTACAGAGTGGTGGGGGTTGGTCTTTAAGTAGCATATCCTCCACTTGCATCGTACTTTTTTCTGCCACTTGTAGCACTTCTGCCATCAGTTCATGTACATAGTCTGTAAGATAAAAAGTACATATACAAGTACACTGGTTATATTATTTTTTCCAATCACTATTACACAAAATCTGACATTATTGCTAGTAAAGACTTTAAATGTTTTGTATACATGGACATATTTTCCTGCAACTAAAATGCAAGTTGTTAATTGAAGAATCATGTACTGCAATATATAGAATACTGAACCTAACCTAAAATATTGAACTCGTCTTCATATGCAACATAATACTTACCAAATGTTTGTTTTGTTTTGACTTTTCTGACAGTGTATCCACCTTTCTTCTGTTTAGGGTAGATTATCTTAAACATTTTCTCCCCAGCAGATGTCATGGCTTGTTCTCTTCTCACATTTTCATTGTGGTGAAGTGCAGCTAGAATCACCCTATTCAAAGAGATGCAACAATATTTAAACTTTCCTGATTAAGTATCATCAATATCTTAAGAATTAAGACTGGCTGCCTAAATCTTTTACATACTCATTTTAACATATCTTACATCTAGCTACAACACTAAATCTCTTTTAACATTGCAATATTCACCACAGGAGTTTTGAGACAGGTAGACTACTAGTGAATAATGATATTTCCAAAACCTGTTGATGATGTTAGATCTTGAGACAGATATACATATACGATCAACTTGTCTGTACAAATTGATGTCTAAAGAAATAATAGTCTTATGAGAATCATGTGATCATATACCTGCACAACATTCCATTGAATGAAAAGCCATGCATTTTAGGGGCAAACTGGTTAACTGTTGAGTGGTACCCTTCTAGTTCTGAAGTTTGGTGATGTGTTGATAGCATGGGAATGTCCTTTTTCATTTGTGGTGATGTCAACATCAGTTCTAGCTTCTCCATTACTTTACTCTCTGAAAAGTGAAAGTGAGGATTTCAAATGATGAAGTAAAAATATAATATGGGATCATAAGGAATTTAGAACACGAATATTAATTCCATGCTAAGAACAAGAAACTAAAGATACCATTTTCCTGGATGTGCTTTTCATTCAGGTGAAAAATGTCATTGCTAAAGAAATTAGGCACTTAAAATGTTTTTAAGCAAGTGATAAATGTCATTCGTAATTTAGTTATGATTTGAATTATTGATACGTCACCAATTTCGAACCAAATGAATAAGTAAGCAAGTTAAAGGTAGGATACACAATAATTGAGTCAATGCCATAACAGGAAAAATACCTGGTTTTATCCATTTCTTCTTCCTTTCCTGTGTTCTCAAGTCATCATGCAGACAGCAAGGAAACAGATCACCATGACCATCATGAATATTTTGGACATGGTTTACTACAGAAACCCACTTCTGGTACATCAAAGCGCCATCTGCTGAGGGCGTTGATGCAGGAACCCAGTATAAGTGATTGGTTAAACTTTTTATCCAGCTTTCAAGTTCACCACAATCTCTTTCTTTTGACAGTGCCAACAACTTCTTCTTCAAACCTAAAGAATATTTCATATGCATTTTAATACAAAACCTATTATATTTTAACATAAAAAATTATTCTATACTTTAAATTGAGTTGTGTGTTCATACATTTAATTCCATTTGATATTTATTTAGTCCTTAGGACATGGTCTACAAAGTATCTGAAGTAAAGCCCTTAGCAAAACAAAACAAACTGAAATCAAACTATTTACTACGGTGACTGTTAATACTGATTGGGCTTCTTGTTTTGTTTATGCTAAACACAAACACTTAAAGAAAATGCAATACCTTTTGCAACATGCCATACATCAACGCAGTGATTGGTCTCTGTCATGTTCTCCCTCACCCACTTTCTGATCTGGACATGTCGGTCGGTGACTAGGGTATCTATGTTGATCCCATGGCGTTTTAGATTGTCCACGCTCCGTATTAACCCTTCCTTTTCCATGTTGACACTATGTTTGACTTCATTGCTCTGAAATTGATCAAAATCTTAACATTACACAATGTACCAAAATTAACATAACTCATGTTCTGGAAAGTACATGTAGATTGTAGATATATATATATATATATATTGAAATTGTTTCTGTATGTATTCATGACCACATTTTCTATCAGCAGTTTCTACATATAAATTTACATAAAATTAACGGGGGCCACAGTCGTCCAGTGGTTAAGCCTGGTCTCAGAAATTGTGGAATATATAATGAGTGGATTTTTTTTTTTTTTTTTTTTAAATTTTTACGATTAGAAATACCAACCTGAACTAACTGTATATCTACGACTGTCCCTCTGTCCAAATCCATCAGTGAATAACTGCAAAACTTAGCACAGTGTCCGGGGGTATCGCATCGACCATCTCCTCCTATACAAATGTCATTGTCACTTTTGCACATTTCTGCAAAATATTGCACTTGTTTTTCTGTCCACATCCTTAGAATTGTAGGCTGTAAATAATGTCGCTGATGCTTGAAAAACGTGTCATGGCATATTACCGGGATGTCCATAAAGTTAAAAATTCTTAGAGTCTTTGAGGGCAACGATCCAGAAAATAAAATGCTGGCAGACAGCTGGACATTTCCTCTTGGAAGGGATCCCACCATTGACTGGCTTCTCCATTTAAAGGTCCTACCACACATGTCACATTCTTGATGCACACAACACATGGTACCGATCATTCGTGTCACTTCTCCTTGGCATGGTGATAAACAGTGTCTACATTTATCAAAAAGTTCAAGCAGTTTGCTTTCTTCAATTATGAGGAGTCTGTCTCTGCTCTGTCCACTGTGTAGCACATCTCTGCAATACATAAATGTTCATGACATTCTACATACATAATTGCCATAATATGAATGAGGGCACTATGACATGATATTATTATAGAGAAATGATATAAGCAAGACTGAGGTTAGGGTTCTATTCCATCTTGGGACAACACCGTTAGATCAAAGTGCCATCCAAAAAGGCAATGCAATGATGTTTTAGCACACAATGGATTGATATGACTGAGAAAGCATGCCATATCAAAGTCCCGAAACACAAGCCAGAAAGTATCAAAATAAATTATTTTTCTCTGCAAAATGTCAGACATGTTACAACACATACTCATTTTCTTCCATATCTAACTCTGTGTCCGAGTCGTCTGGACCAGAATCCGGATGATAGGAGTCGTCTAGATCTTTACTGTTGGTCTTGAAAAGGTCTAGATGATCTTCGTACTCACTATCACTTTCCAAGTTGGTTTCTTCATCTTTCTCCACCACTGGCTTTAGAAGATTACATTGAACTTCTGCATGTCTCACCTTTGGTCTTGGAGCACGAGTTTGACATCCTATAAGATAAAACAAAATCACAATGCATTAATGCAAGTAAAAATGTCTTGTGATTTATTCAAATAATAAATGAATGGAATAGTAATTTTAAAATGTTGTAATTAGGACAAGTACTTAAAACAGTTTACAGCTGTATTGTACCAACTGGTAATACTCTATTTTTTCATACAGTTATGACTTTTCAAAATGTCACAATCTTGCAGGTCACATGACGAGACTTACAGACCCTATTGACATGCATAAGCAGGTTACAATTTACCTTTCTCCACTGCATTGGGGGCCACTTGTATCCTGACCGTTTTCCTCTTGGGTGGTTTCAGGGAGAGCTGCGTGCCACAGGTTTTTGTCTTTGATGGTGTTTCCTGTAATAGAAACTTTTCTTGTACACGGTAGTTATGATGTACATTAACAGTTGAACCTCCATAACCTATGTATATGTAAGGTGGGAAAAAAAGTATGTTCCTTGACCAACCTTACAAGAGCCCAACAGATGCCCATGGCGATGTTTGACACACAAGATCAGAGACCATTTCACTATTTATGTTGTTTGAAACATGTAGTTTGCTGTGACATATGGAACATTCTGTACATAAAGTTTGGAGTTCCTACATATATGTAAAACAGTGTTGTAAATATGGTGCGGACAAAGAAAAACTATAAAGGGCAATAACTGTAAATCTGGTTTTATACATAACTTTTATAAGAGCAACAACCTTGACTTTTACAGTGCATGTGTGAAAACCTGAATTAAAAGTTTAGGGTCGGTATGGTGACAGTAAACTCGCATATAATTTTTTTGGCCTTATGAGTATCATTTTTAGTACCTTGAAATTGCAGGAGAAATAATCATGGTCATTTCTTGTCTGTACATGTTCCTCTGGCAATTCCATAACCTCATCACTGGCTGAAACATCAGGATCTTCCTCCACCTGAGTGTCTGTGGATACCGTGGAACTCTCTTTCAAACATTGCTCGACTATCTATAAAAAAAAATCAAATTTATCATACAAATAATGTACATGTAGTCACAGTGTAGCTGTTTAATACGTACATTTAAGTTAAAACTGAAGATACCTCGCATACACTGAAACATTTACTGGGAAAAGGTTTATTAAATGCTAAATAGGAGTATTGTCCACTAAGGAAGGCTGCATTACTCATTACCTTTTCTACTCAGATACTACTATAACTTATATGATATACATAGGCCCTAGATCTTCATGTATTATGTAATAATTACCCTTCTGTTCTCTCTTTTTGCGAAAGCAGTCCGTGGTCTTTTGACAGGCGTTTCCTCTACGTTGGTGCAGCCTTTGTTGATCGTTGGCACAGCATCTTTTATTAGCGTTTTCTTTTTCGGTGGTGTACGTCCCATTGATTGAAGAAATCTGTACTGCATCGGGTAGCAGTCCTCACCGAAATGTTCCGAACACAAAACTGAATGTTTTGTTGGCCCGTCCCACAAATCCCTTTTCCTCCGCACAAATGCAGTCCAAACTTTGCATATTTCCGGTCTGTCTAATGGGAAAAAATGAAGTGAAACACCGTCTAAAGTGGTGTTTCCACATCCATACGCTACACATCTCTTCCCACGTGAACGTTTGTTGGTCGGAGTCGCTTCCATAGTTAAGCTAATACTTCGAATTTCGCACGTTTTGAATAAAAATAAATATCACTTGATACGCACAAATATGGTAGGATATAAATACAGGACGAGAAGTATGAAGATTAAACAACCAAACGTCTGTTTCACATATTTTCGACAGTCTACACGCGAAAGTTACCTGGCATGGCGGGTCGTCCCAAATGCTACCCTTGTGACGTCACGAGCAAATAGAGCCTCGATTTGATGTGAGAGCGGTTTATTCAAAGGTATGTTTTTCGGTTTTTGCCGTAAAGCATCAAAACTATAAAACTGAAATGATTTTTTTATATATATTTATGAACGTCTATATACATACCAATTAACAACTATAAATAAACATGTAATCTAGGTACACTGATATATTTAGAGTTCACATTAGTGATAACCCTGTCTGTATCTGCGGCTCTCCATGTGAAAACGCCTATCATTTCTTCTTTGAATGTCCTAATTATCGACACCAGAGGTCAGAGATGTCTCAAGGTTTGAATATAGACAATGGAATTAACTCAGATAGTCTATTATCAGGCATGCTTGAATTTACAAAACAGATTTATAAAGACCATCGGAAGGTTTAATTCATAAACAATTATACTACTTGTATTTTTCTTGAGAATAAAATATGTTAAAACTAAAAACCAACTTCTTCGAAAAGCGACTCACCTTTGTCGACATGTATACCTTGAAAAACACAGGAATTTCATTCAAGTACTGATTATATTTTTTGTTGGTGTAGTAAAATAGATATAATTGACACGAAAATAAATACCCCGATTCACTTGTACAAAAAAGTTCTCCAGTGGAGAATGTGGTTGTTCTATTTCTTGTACCTTCACCATATGTAATAAAAAATTGCAAGATATAGTATTTCATCATCCTTATATCCATAAATCCTTATATCAGCCTAACTAGATACTTGTCTTGCGCTTTCCTAATTGATAACATGTTTACATAGTAGTTATTTTCATTTCACTTAAGTTTTTATATATTGCGATGGGTTCCCGCCTTCCATATTAGGAAATGTGCAATTATTCTATACTGCGTTAAACTGCAATCAGATTTCCATACGCCTAAGACATTTCAAAGTAAGCTATCTTTATCATGCAATTTAATTTTTATGTCATGTACTTGTGTAGTGAATGACGCCGAATTGGTGTAATGCATTCTACTGAATCAGCTTTAGAGATCAGATTCCATCAACATATACTTTTGATTGAAAATACACTTCTAATTTTATAAAACTGACCATCCCATTACTAATTTTAACTGCTTTCTCGCGGGCAGTTAAATGTTTTTGCTTAGAGTTGTCTCTCTTTGTCTTGAAACTCTTTAGCGCAGCCATACACATTGAACTATGATTTAAGACAGACTGGCGTGTTCTTCACGTCCCTTCTAAAAGAAACATGTAATTTTTACTAGAATGAGACAGCAGTGAGACATCTGTAGTGGCATTACATAATGAGCGATACTACAGACATCCATACTGGAGTTACAGAATGCATTATGAACATGGCCGAGGAAGCAAGGGGTATGTATTTTTTTTACTTAGAGTTATCTTTCTTTGTATTGAAGCGCTTTCTATCGGTAGTCTTGCTAGTGTCAAGTTTTCGCACAGTATCATAACTCGCTTAGTATCTTTAGCTAATGTCATGTTCCGTCATCCATCATGAGTCCTGTGTCAGTTTTTCTGTTTATTTTCTCTCAGCTTCCCGGTAAAGGCTTTTTATTTTTATTTGAAATCAGCTCTCAGTCAGTTAAATTCTAGATCAAAACAGAAACAGTATGAAAAAAATCACAAAAGAGTGTCAAATTAAAGACATTATTACATCCATATTTAGCACGAAACCCTTGCAAGCTCCTTGCAGTACCGATCAACAAATCAGTCTTCATATCGCTATGAAAGTTGAAATTTTAATTTACTTACAATTCCTGAGCGACGGAGGCTAATAGGGTCACACGTTTTTGCAGTTAAAACTCATTATATATAACTTTGAACTTCAAACGACTTCGCCTTAAGAACATAAGGCTAACTGTCAATGCATTTTAGTTTCGTATCATCAAGAACGATTCAGATTGCAGTGCTACAACTATATCTCTTTAAGATAGATATTGACGTTGTACATAAATTAACAGAATTGTTAAAAATCTTCGTACATCTACACTACAATGATGTCATGGAAAGTTCTTTGTGGCTTGTTAGGGACATTCAAACTAGTACCACAATTTTTAAAAACTACGCGAAACACTTTCTAAATATTTTGTTTAATACATCAGATTGTCTATAGTAAAGATATACCTTCATTTTGTTTGCAGCCTATTCGGATGTTGGCCTTTCAATAGCTACGATCTTCAGGCTCGCAAAATTTACAACTTCCAGACGAGTTTTATAAAATCTGATATGAAATTAAAACAAATTTCAGATTCCTTTTATCACAACACTCAGAAAAGATAACTTTTGTCAGGTTTTGAAGTCAAAATGTGGAAGACAAATTCAAACGGAGGCAACGGTTTTGTTGTGCCATTTTAAATTTATAACGGAACGCCATTTTCCGTATTATATCATCGCAATCGTTTTGACTGGAACAGCTAATGAAAAAACGCCCCATGGTATATCACATAAGTGGCTATTGAAAAATAAGATAATGATTGATATAAATGATTATATTCTTTTGTTTCAGAGTTGTACCTGGATAAACAGGTGCCCGTTATCAGCGCCCCCGTATCACCACTAAGATTTTACAGGGAACACGTAGCTTCCAATAAACCCGTGGTCGTGGAAGGTGCACTCCAACACTGGCCGGCTCTAAAACTCTGGGAGGAATCTTACTTCAGGTACTATCCCAGTTCCGCTTTCTTTAATAGGTTAAAGCAACACAGCCATGGTTGTCCCTTTATAAAATAAGGACGGACCAACTGAACTTATAATGCCTTCTGTGGAGCATTGGTGTAGCTTTTAACAAGTCTGTATTACGTGTATGCATTGGTGTAGCTTTAAACAAACCTGTTTTACAAGTAATACTGACTTAGCATTGGTGTAGCTTTAAACAAGTCTGTTTACAAGAAATACTGACAGGACCGTCCTGATTGGTGCCTTAAATGGTGAAACGCAATGTTTAACTGGCCATTGGAATGTCGAATTGAGGCAATAACACTGCACTAGAGATCAAAAGAAGCTTTAAACTTTGATCTATTACTAGAACATTGGGGACAAATTTCACATGGTATAATATTTGGTTGATTAATGATGCGCCTTACGGAATAACGAGAAGACCTCGTAAGTTGTAATAACTTGTGTCTAATCCTTTTGCTATTACACTTGGCAATAAAATATGGTTAAACTTAATAACACCTTATTGTTTTGATATTAGACGTATTTCTCTTGTTGTTTGATTGGCTATAGAAAGAAGATCGGTGACGTGAACGTGTCTGTAACCGTCACACCCAATGGATACGCGGACGCCGTAACTGACGGGAAGTTTGTTATGCCTGATGAAAGAAAAATGACAATGTCCAAGTTTCTCGACGAGTTGGACGCACCAAAGAAAGACAAGGTGTTTTATATACAGAAACAAAACTCAAACCTGACAGAGGAATTCTCCAGTATCATCAGTGATGTTGACACTGATATTGACTGGGGCACCGAGGCGTTTGGTAAGTCGTCCATTAGATTCGTATATCCCATTTCTTAAATATATATATCATAAATGGCGCGAATTTATATTATCCTTGAATTAATTGTCAAGGTTCTTGCCCCTGGAAATTGTTACCAGTAAACTTAGATTTAACTCCATCGTATTTTACGATTTTACAATCTTCCTTGACAAAGCGCCATTGTTTTATCATAGCTATTTCTTGTTTTCCGTTCTTGGTAGATACCTTTATTAAAGGTCACCATTTGAATCAGCTTCAACAAGTTTTAGTGAATACTTTCTGCAAATTGTCCTTAATGCGGCTTTGTTTGGTATTTAGTGTTACTTAAAATATGTTCAATTCCGAATGGAGCAAAGACGTGATGTTTTTCCACTGTAGGACAGCCACCTGATGCTGTTAATTTCTGGATGGGTGACGGCAGAGCAGTGACCTCAAGTAAATATACAAAAGTCATTCTATATATAACTTAAAAGCTCAATAATGGCTGGAGTGTATGTAGAATCGGCAATACGACAACAAGATTTGTAAAGAATTTTCTTTCGGTCTGGATATGGGTGTGACCACTTGCGGATCCATCTTTCTGGTAAAGTTTTCAATAAAACAACGTTCACCTGAAATACGATATCTAGATGGTTAATGGTTTTGTAAACTGTTCACATGAAATACGATATCTTGATGGTTAATGGTTTTGTAAACTGTTCACATGAAATACGATATCTAGATGGTTAATGGTTTTGTTAAATGTTCACATGAAATACGATATCTAGATGGTTCATGGTTTTGTAAACTGTTCACATGAAATACGATATCTAGATGGTTAATGGTTTTGTAAACTATTCACCTGAAATACGATATCTAGATGGTTAATGGTTTTGTAAACTGTTCACATGAAATACGATATCTAGATGGTTAATGATTTTGTAAACTATTCACCTGAAATACGATATCTAGATGGTTAATGGTTTTGTAAACTGTTCACATGAAATACGATATCTGGATGGTTAATGGTTTTGTAAACTGTTTACATCAAAATGTAGGCGTCCGTTGTCCGTCCCCAGGAGACATAGGGCGGGGGACAATAGGGAGGACGGAGGAGTAGCTTTAAAATCCACTGTTTGGATAAATTACCGAATCAGGGATGCATAGCAAACTCTTCGTAATTAGGAATAATGATATTTGGTCTGAAGCATCCTGTGGTGAAGAGGTTTTGTAGAAGCGATGGTTGTATATCTTATTATCGATTTTTTGTGTCTGTTTACAAATAGCATTGATAGTTTTTTTTGTTACAATATTTTGACCAGATTTAATTTGAAACTTTAAAATTTCTTTCTTTCATGGAAAATCATTAACAGTATGACTGAATATGAATATTTTGATGCGAAAGTTGAAATATTTAGTTGAATGATACAGGGTATTATAACCCTATTTGCCGCCTTTATTGCTTAAAGCACTAGCATCATCTAGGATAATTTAAAGACGACATCCCCGTGTACGTGACGTAAGTGTGCCTGTTTTGTTGAAGGCTGTGTTCGTGTAAGCCACATTGTGATAATGCAAAACTGATGCCGAAATAGTGCATATATACTGAAATATGCTATCGAAGCCATCCAGCAGAACACGCCACCCGGTCATGTTATTCTGACAACAGGCGAACCAGTCATTTCACGTCCACAATGCCGAGCGAAATATAGTTAGTAGTAACAACCACTTTTAAGAGATTTGAAGGAATCTGACAGGAGAAGTTAGGCATTTTTAACAAAAAAAAAAAAAAAAAAACTAGAAAGAAATTGAACGATTACACCCTAAATTTAGTCGCCCCTCACGATCAGCTGGTACAATTCTGACTTCCTTCCTATAGGGCACTCAAAAATTATGCTAATTATAACCTCTAGAGTATAACTAACAACATGTAATGCACACGTTACTCGACAATCTCATTTAAACATCAGAGCTAACGATGGACAACTTCCTCTGCTAATTTGCCATTAATTTCACTGTAGCGACACGTGCATACCTGATTCATAAGTCTCCAGGTAATGGTGTTTTTTTCTTAGTGCACAGAGATCACTACGAAAACCTATACTGTGTTGTGAGAGGATGGAAGACGTTTATCCTGATACCACCGACCGATCTAGCCTATGTTCCTTATGGTAAGGTAATCATCATATTGGGGAAAACTTGCTTAAGTTAGTCGATGTCAGCTCAGCTGTAAAAGTGAACTGACCTACAATCATAAGATTGAAGATTCATTAACGAGAGAAAGCAATGAAGGTATTAATCTTTGTAAAAATCTAAAATTCGAAATTATTTTAAAACCACACTTTATAGTACCAAAATTTAATTTGTTCTTTCAGAAATATATCAAAGTGCTTCTTATCGGGAGAATGATCAAGGTGGATTTGAAATTGTCGACGACGAGGAAACTGGCAAGGTAGATTTCATGAATTTGAAAATTGTTTGACAAACACTGACGTAAACCAAAACTCTTCTTAAATCAATTATTATTTGTAAATTATTTCAATATGGCAAAAGAATAAACCTTTTTGCGAATATCTGTTTGAAGACTATATATCGGGTTCTGATATCGTCGTGTTATTGTACTAGTGATACTGGTTTAGCGGGTACTTTTGTTTTGGATATAATCTGTGTTATAGTAGCTAATATCTTGTAAAGAGGTTGTTGGACTAGGTAAGGTTAGGTTATGGTGTGAGATGTTGGCTATTTGTTTATGTTTTAACGCTCTTTGCTAGGTCAAGCGAGCATAGACTATTCAAAACTCAGGATAAAATATATGAATAATCTGCTCTTCTGAATCAGTTACTGATTTATCAAATATGTACTTCTTAGCTTCATTGGAAACGACACTTACTTCAATATCGTCAGCTATAAATCCAAATTATCAATGAAGTCCCATCTCTGGCACCAAATATTATACATGTAAATTAGCCGTAAAATCTTGGTCGCAGTAGGGATGTCATTCGTCGCGGAGCGTAAGAACCATTGGTTTTGACATGATATCTGAATTAAAACCGGAAGTACGCCTGGTCTTCCTCCTGTTCATATCAGCAAAAAATAGCGTTTTATACCTGAAACTATGATATTAAACCATAAAAATTGTGACAAGCTATTTTAGAAAATGTATCATGTATTTAACACATCTGTTCTCTTTAAACATATTCTATATTCAAGGTCTGTTTAAATTGCTTCATCTCTCATTGTTTTCCTCGCCCTCGTCCGGCGATTTAACTAAAACTATAGTGAACTGTTTTGATAACAAGAAGGTTAATCTGTATTATGATACTTTTCATGATGTAAACGCCCTAGGTACCCTGGGTGGCGATCGATCCTGAGAGTCCGGACCTTGATCGTTACCCCCAGTATGGACATGCACGACCCCTGAAGGTGACGGTACATGCTGGTCAGATGCTATATCTACCGTCCCTCTGGTTCCATCACGTCAGTCAATCCCACGGCTGTATTGCAGGTATTAACATAGCATATTACGGAGGGAGTGAAGGTATTGTATTCAGAGTGTCACAGAAAGTGAAAACGTCTCACTGTTGATGGAATTGTTTTATTTTTGGTTTGGAAATCAGTTGTTTTTCTATTTAAGCTATATTCTTTAATCAGCTGTCGTCGGCAGTATTCAATGTTGGTAGTATCAGCATTTTGTTTCCTTTCTTCATTGTACCTTGATTTGTTTGACCAAATTGTTAATATTCAATATTACAGCAGAGAAAAATATTCGCCTTCTTTGTAGTCAAATATTTTTTTGCATTTTCCAAAGGTTGACTTTTTTTCGCTTTAATAATTTATATACGACAGTACCGTATACAAGGTCATTTCTGTTAAAGTCGTCCAGTAAAATATGTAACTGATAAATGAATCATGTAGAATGGCGACAGAGGTTAAGCCTTTGGTCCAATTGACAACACATCGTACTGCTATAGATTGAATCTATAAAAAATATATTATGAAATTGATTATTTGTTTTATAGTCATTCTGATTAATCTACCAAAGAGTTCAGGGGAAACTGTGCCAATGCAGTAATTGTTTGTTACAGTAAACTACTGGTACGACATGCAGTTTGATATAAAGTATAACTACTACAAGTTCCTGGAGAACGTAGCCAATACTGTGTCATCAAGCAGCACGTAACTCTCAGTTTGAGTACTGAGTCTCATAACTACTGTGTCTACAAGTATCACGTGACCCGCAGTCTGACTGGTGAGTGTCATCAAAACTGAGTCTACAAGTATCACGTGACCCGCAGTCTGAATGGTGAGTCTCACAAATACTGTGTCTACAAGTATCACGTGACCCGCAGTCTGACTTGTCTCATCAAAACTGAGTCTACATACATCACGTGACCCTCTGATGAGCCTACAAGCATCACGTGATCCGCAGTCTGACTGGTGAGTCTCACAAATACTGTGTCTACCAGTATCACGTGACCCGCAGTCTGACTGGTGAGTCTCATCAAAACTGAATCTACAAGCATCACGTGATCCTTTGCCAGACTTGAGTTTCATCAATAATGAGTCTACATGCATCACATGATCTTCCGATGAGTCTACAAGTATCACGTGATCCTCAAAGTGACTGGTGCGTCTCATCAATACCGTGTCTTTTAATATCACATCTATCTGATTGAGTCTACAAGCATCACGTGACCCTCAGACTGTCTGGTGATTTCCATCAATACTGTGTCTTCAAGCATCATGTGATCCGCAGTCGGACTGGTGAGTCTCATCGAAATTGAGTCTGCCAGCATCACGTGATCCCCCGCCAGACTAGAGTTTCATCAATAATGAGTCTACAAGCATCACGTGATTCTCCGATGAGTCTACAAGCATCACGTGATCCTCAAAGTGACTAGTGTCTCTCATCAATACCGTATTTATTAACATCACATCTATCTGATTGAGTCTACAAGCATCACGTGACTTTCTAGACTTTCTGGTGCCTCTCATCAATACTTTGTCTACATCCAGACTAATTGGTGGGTTTCATCAATACTGACTTTAGATGTGTTTCATCGATACTGTGTCTACAGGCATCACGTGACCATGAGACTGACTGGTGCTTCTCATTAATACTGTGTCTATATTCAGACTGATTGGTGAATTTCATTTATACTGTGTTTAGAAGCAGCACGACAACTTCAGACTGACTGGAGAGTTTCACCATTGTATGTCATATTTGACTTGTATTTTGAGTACATTAAAGATTTGTTGGCTTAGGACTGTGATGTTTCTGTATAAATCTCTGGACAATAAAGGATTAACTTATAATCTGGTTACCTCGTCTGAAACTTCCTTGGCATAGTGTTTTTTGTCTATCCGAGGAGTAAGCGTGGAGAGTTTCGATATGTGAAATCTTTGTGCCAAGTCCTGCAGTAGTCCTAGGCGCAATTGTATCAACACTAAAATAGCTCATTAGTGAGTCGTAGTAAACGGGATGTCCTTGGTTATCAATGGTTTCTGATCTCTTTGTATCGCCTTCAGCGTCACTCAATTTATTGAATAACACGTAAAATGTAGATGCATTTGGAAGTCTAGTATAAAACATGCACAATTCTTCAGAATGTTGTATGTCCTCAAAAATCAAATAAGGTTTTCAGGTATTTATCCTAACACTTAATTTCCCCCAGGAATGTTACACCTGTTTTTTGTTGATACAGACACCATAAATGTTTTCATATTGTCACCACATATTTTGGTACCCTGTTCTACACTTACATATATACGTATGTACGTACACAATGACATTCATTACCCATGTACGTCTACAGTGACATCCATAACCAATGTACGTACAAAGTGACATCCATTACCCATGTACGTACACAATGACATTCATTACCCATGTACGTACAATGACATCCGTTACCAATGTACGTACAGTGACATCCGTTACCAATGTACGTACACATTGACATCCATTACCTATTTACGTACACAGTGACATCCATTACCCATGTGCGTACTCAGTGACATCCATTGCCCATGTACGTACACAGTGACATTCATTACCCATGTACGTCTACAGTGACATCCATAACCAATGTAGGTACACAGTGACATCCATTACCCATGTACGTACACAGTGACATTCATTACCCATGTACGTAAAAATGGCATCCATTATCCATGTACGTACACAGTGACTCCATTACCAATGTAGGTACACAGTGACATCCATTACCCATGTACGAACACAATCACATCCATTACCCATGTAGGTACACAGTGACATCCATTACCCATGTACGTACACAGTGACATCCATTACCAATGTACGTACACAGTGACATCCATTACCCATGTACATCTACAGTGATCTCTATCCATGGTAAATAGGGGTAAATAATAACGTTATACATCAGTATTCATCTTATCAGTCATAGAGAATTCGGGAAGTTCGTACTTATTTGCAATGTCCACTTTCATGGAAAATCATACTGAAAGGCCATTGCACGGTCAAACTGGTTTCCGCTTTGTCCTTGAATTAATAGTATATAAATCGATAACGGCGCTCTCCACAATATCGTGTGAATCTTAAGCTCTGTAGACGGCACTCTGAGTCCTTCTTGACATACCGCTGAAGACTTCCTTGTCATACAGGTATGTAAAATTTCTTATTTTATCATCATTATTATTATTTTGAATTTCTTTCGATACAAAACCCGTAGAATTAAAGCATGCAGGGAGGCAACAGGTTACACCATTCAATAGCTTTTTAATGAAAGAGAAATTCTAGCGACATTAGATTATTTTCTCAGTTCTTTAAATCCCCCCGTAAAATTAAAATTTTCTTCTTATGAACACGAAAAAATGTAATATTACGGCAATTCCAAACTTTATTACTTGGCGATATAAGCAGTGTTCATAAACAGTTGCTGCTGATCATGAAATTGAAAAAAAAAAAAAATGCAAAATAGTTTTTTTGCCCGACAAATTATGACATACCTTCACAGAAGCTATATCTTGTAAGTATCTGACAGAGTAACACTTGTTTCTTCTATTCCATCCGATCGGACAATCTTTGAATCATAATTTAAAACAAAAAGTCATGCTGCTTTGTGCCTTTATTTCACAATCTGAATAACAGTTTTACATAGTATGTACGAACTGTTAAGGCAATACTACAGTTAAATGACCATAAAGATAAAACTATAATAAAATAAACAATTAGGTAAAATTACGGCGTGAAATTTATTTCTTATATTGGCAAAATATTCATGTCGTCACGTGTTGGTGTGTTGTTTATCTATAGTCTAGTGAGGTTTACCCATGCACCATGCAATTCTATTTTTATCTGACCGTCTATGACCAATGTTTTTCATGAAAATGTTATTTCAATGTTAAGTTCGTCTGAACTCTGCTGCAGGTATTCGAGCATTAAACCCAACCGTAATATCATTCAACATGGCTCTACATGATGATTTCACAATCCTAAAAAATTCTCGTTTCGCTCGATGACCACTGTCTGAGTCTATATATCTTTTTGATGATGCAATTTAGTGTTATCGTATTTATCTCTAAACTTGTATTAAAGGGTGCTTGTTTATATTTTGTACAATTTAACATATTGGTTCGATATTACTTCATTATAAGCTATCTACCAGTAAGTAATAGTTGTATGTTTATCCTATCTATTTTTAGGTTTTATATATCCAGTTGTTGATGTTTCTTTCATGCCTCATTGTTTTGATTTGAAGATTAGAAAAGCATTGGCGAATTAAAATTATTTGACTTAACTAACTAACGTATTCTTTTCAGATCTTTAGATATGAATCGAAAGTTGTACACGGCCCTGGTTGGTAAAGTTGTTAGAGACCCAATAGTGCGTTCTGGCATGAAATTGGCCAGCAGGGTAAATTTATTCCAGGCGTTGAGGGAGAAACCCATGACCGTGCGCACACTTGCTTCTGAACTAAACATGAAAGAGAGGTAAGGGTTAATAATTAAAGGAAGCGCAAATGATTACCTCCCTTAGTGCACATAGGATTGTAGAGAAGATAGCAACTTCTATCGTTACCTCTCTCAGTGAACATAGGATTGTCATTGTGTATCATTGTGTTGTGAAGCCCAGTTATTAAAAGAGCATGATATCATTGTATTTCTGTGTATTGTGGAGTCCCTGTCTCTCTCACAACTTTCTAGATAGATCCTGAAAGTACTACTTCATAATCTTTCTTTAAAATTGTACACTGTGATTACATTTGGCGTCTGTACCTGTATCTGCTGGTGTTGCAACTCAGAAAAAATAAAACTCACCAAATGGGCAATCTATTTCGAGTGTCGTAATGCCCTGCGTTTGATACAGGATAAATTACTTGTAATTTGCAAAGCGGATAAAGGAAGGTATTTAATTGATAAATAGTGGACAAATGTATTCTCCATTAGGTTTGTTGACATCAACTAATTATTTTCTTCTGATAACATATGTGCAGTCTTAATCTATCATGGTAGGACTGACCATTGTAAGTCATGTCAGTGTAGCTAGATAAACATAGTCAGTCGGCTAGCTATTACTCTTATACATACAACAAATAGATGTTATTACCCAGTTCTATTTTTAATGTCCATGTAATATATAGTGAAGCGTATTTACCGAGACTTTGACATTAGTTTGTTGTCCTCTTCTCTGAATGAATTAAACATTTTGTTTTAGGTATATATGGGAGCTCAGCCAGGCCATGATGGCGTCCGGCGTGATCACCATGGATGCAAAGGAGCAGTTAGCCATACCACCAGATTGTGTTGACATATTGTTAGCTGAGACAGAAAAAGCTGCTTGGAATCCCCATCTTTTTAAGACCTTACCCATCCTTGATAGCTGTTTTCCGTTGGATGGAAAACCAGGTTTGTATTATTCATGTTAACTGAAAAAATCAATTGATAATATAATGTATATATTTGCCTAATCCCACATTATTTGGATGTAAGCAAGTGCTTTTTAAAAAAAAAAAAAAAAAAATTCTGCGGCTATTTAGGTGACATGCATAATCAAAGTTTACATTGTTGGGAATGTATTGTAGTGTTCGCATTGAACATTTATTTTGTATTTTCTGTTCAGTAGGAAAGATCTCATTGGACCAAGATAATCTAGACTCTATGTCCGTTTGCACAAAAACTTTAGATAATGAAGTACACTCAAATGTGTATCTATCAACATCTTGCTTATTTACAAAGTTCCGGCAAAAAACTAACAATTCAGAATAAATGTTAAAGAGTGAAACAATTCATCTACGATACCCTATGGGTTACGCTCACTTTCGTTGTACCCCTGGAACGTTCCAGGATTATATTGAAGAATTCATGACTCCATGTGGATCAGACGAGAAAACTAGTTTGATCCTTTCATGTAAACGAAAGTTAAAAAACTCGAGATCGCACGGGATTGACGTGTTGAGCTGACGTCTGTACTAGAAAAATCCTGCGCACCTAACGAGGCATATATATGAATCTTCATTCCTGTAATTTCAGGTTACACACTTGATGAGGCACCGTTCGTGCTGGATTTGCTAAATGAAGTTCGATCTCCATATAGAGCAAGTTTGGTTACAGAACTCGTGTCCAACATTAACCTCAATTACACGGTAGGTAAGTAACTGTTTAAACTTAACCGAGAAGCAGCTTGCCATCCGGGAAGGTAAAGGTAATTAAAACCCTCAAATAAAAGATCGAATCGTGACTTAGGTTATGAATTAGGCTTTCTTTACGGGGAAAAATTCTATAACAGAGAATTGTAAAATGTTTCTTGTCAAAACGACGAAAAACATGAAAGACAAAGAAACAACAGTGTTAATTATGATGGATATACATATCTGCAGCATAAACAATGTTTTATTACATATGTTGAAAAGAAAGAAGTAAAGCATAAGAAAAAACTAAACAACATTTGGAACTGATTTTAGTGATATATAAAATAAATAATCAACCAGAGGGAGGGAGTAATGAACAAATATGTGTCGCCGCAATAAAGGTGTAATAAAGAAAATAGAAATGTTGTAAAACTATTTTGTGGAAACTCGAGAGTTTGTTAACAAGACATCTGGAATTAATATACTACTTTATTATAAATAGATAAAGAGTCAGTTATGTTCTATCATATAAACATAGAGAAAAAAAATTCTTATCAAAATAATGGAGGAAAATTCATTATCTTATTCGGGAACTACATTAGTATTCAGTAAATTCACTTACGATCGTAAATGTATACAAGGTATTTCATGTAACAGAAATGATCCTATTTTGTGAATTTGATCAATCGTTGATACATCAACAGGTTTAATGATGTACTAGTTACTTATGAATATTGTTTCCAAAACAGTAAACGTTATAAAAAAAATAAAGATATTTGTAATGTATGTAGCCAGGTGATAGAATACATCATTTTAAATCATCGCGTAAAGCAAGTATGAAAGAATGTATGTATGTGCACGTCGAGTTCACGTCCTCTGTCCAGTCACCGCCAACTCCCACCAAGAGCCACCACACTCGCACAGCATCACTCAGACAGTCAACACGTAGGCTAACCTGTCAAATCTGACAGAGCACCAAAGCCGGCGTCCCTGGTAAGCTTAATTAATATAAGTCACATTAATATATTGTAATCTTCAAACTATAAAACATTCCTCATAATTTACCGCAGTGTGCAAGGTGTGTGAGTGAATGTGTATTTATAATTGTATTTTTAATTTTAGGTCTTCTTCAGACAATTAAATCATTTTCCAACCAAAGAAGGGGTTTTGGTAGTCTATCCACCCACGGTTACATGTAGATCAAACCGTGTCCGGTTTACCGAGTTTTTTCATCACTGCATATACTTAATATTTTCCCTAGGGATGTCCGCGTGGTGTATTAGTAAATTAGTTGTAAGGTACGACTAAAAAATGTCTTTCAACGTAATTACGTGTTTCTGTGTCAAAATACAAAACTATTAAATACAATGTACAAAGTAAAGTATTTGCTACAAAGGTTTATTTTTTGTTTGTTGTATGTGCACATTTGTTGCATATGTTTTCTTCATCTTGATTCAGGTAACCTGAAAAATGTGCTGGATGTTGGATGTGGTTCAGGAGATATCACTATTCCCCAGGCAGAGCAAATGCAAGGTATCAATGGTGTCGGGTGTGACACATCGGAAAAGGCTATCGTCACTGCATCAAAATCTACAAAGGTCAAGAACGTGTCATTTACTCATGTAGATAGTGGAGCCTACCAGAGGGATTGGATACAAAAAATGGACGTCATCCTGATGTTCGATGTCCTTCATGATCTTCCACATCCCCAAGAAACCATGACAGAAATTAAAAAAGTGCTGAAGGATGACGGTATTATGATTATCATTGACCCAGACGTCAGCAACAACCCTCAAAATAACATAGGGAACCTTCACGCCGCCAACGCTCTCACCTTCAGCTCGTTCTACTGCGTTCCTAGCAGCTGCTGTCATGCTCACAGTTCCGCTCTAGGTATCAGCTGGGGAAGAGAAGGAAAATAGTATTTACTCAACAGTTTAGGGTTGGTCGTGAGAAGCAGGGTATGCTTATCAAAAGTATGTTCTTTCACGCGTTTGTCTGTGTCAAATCCTCGTCGGCAACAGAAAAGAAACTGTAGCAATCTTCAGAATATAGCAATGACATGTCCACTGACGCGTAATGTCTTGATTCGATACCAGGTGATAAGCTGATTCGTTATTTTCTTGTTTTAACGCCAGTAGGTACATGGTGTACACTTGTGTACTTATACGAAATAGCAAGTGAATAACTAGCAAAGCATTGTCACGAACATACCAAAACGTATGATAAACCATGTATCTTATATGTCAATTTATACGTAGTTTCCTAACATGAATGTAGCTTTAGATTTTATTCTGTATAGTGTGCATTTCAATCCTTTTGTGGTACAGTGAATTTAACCTAGCCGCGATTTATAATGCACCACAGGCGCGTTATAGCAAAAGTAGTTTCAACTGATATTTGGAAACGTCATATTGAACACTGTTACTCGCAAACAATATATTCAGAATTGATATTAATGTAGATTTTTCCTCATGCTATATCGATAGTTCATCCTGGATAAATCTCATTTTACATACCAGTGTAAAGGAGATGAGCTGTGTCAACATATTATTATTCCAAGACATCGGCCTGGACATTGATATCGGTGTTCCTGACTCTCGAACACAATACTTTTCTCGCCTCTAGCCAATCTTAATAAAAATTCAAATCATCAACCATTCGATCAGGTTATTTAGGATGTCAACTTGTTGAAATTGCAAGTTTGACCCAGTTTTCGGCAAAATATAGAGCTTTTATATTCACGAACTGACATAAAACAGTAATTCAGGTTAGATTGCCTTTAAGTGCGATCGCCTACAGTTCCATATTAAATGGAAACGAATATAAGTATAGTTTATCATATACAATAGATACTTTTGTAACTATTTGTAAATATAACTTTTATTTAGACTAATACAAGGAATCTAAAGTGGCGATATTCTCACTCCACATCTCTTTCTTTGATGTGTCGCAAATATATGGTGCCACAAAGCTTTGGCAATGATACTGTGATAACAATATCAACCTCTTGCCAATCTTAGTTGCTCTAGGCCATGTTACACCTGTATGATAATCAATGGTAATGTTAGTGGTGTTGTTATGCTGACAATAGGGTGGTTTTGTGATAACCTCGAATAGATTTGTCAATGTTTTTAACATTCATCATGAATCACTTATCGACGGAAGTGGACACCTCTTAGGACAGGCTATAACTGGTATCATATGTAGGGAACAAAATGACCCTTATACTTCGTGTTTTACCGATAACCATTAACACAGATAAATGCCAATATCTATGAATATTTACTTTACTGTTCGACTCTGCGGATCGGCAATTCCACTCCATTCTGTTGATGTGGCAGGAATTTCTCCAATAACCATATTTCTGAACAGACAAAGTAACAGAGAGCAAAAATCTGCTAAGATAAGTAAAATGAAGCTTATTACATATTTTAGATAAACATACATTGAAGGCACAGTATACAATAGAGATAAATAAAAGTTAATCGAAAATCACCATCTATGAATTCAAATTCCTTTACATTTAACGTAATCATTATCAAAGAATGACCGTATTTATTGAAATGTAACACAATGCATGACGAATTTCAATTGTTTTCTCCTTCCATTAATGCACCAATCTGTAAAAGAACAATTAAAAAGATAAAGTAAAGAAATATGGAAGTACAATTATCTTAATAATTGACATAAATACATGAATTTGAAAAGGCAAATATAATTCATATTAGTGCTATTTAACAACCAATTAGAATTATATAAGAAAACTTATTAAATGAATCTTTGTAATCTAGTAATATTCAGTATTCAAATCATTACGTTTTTATTTTAATTGAAATGAAGACAATGTTAGGAAAACATCTATTCAATAGATCAATTTCAATGAAAACAGCACACATAATATATAAGATTTCTTCATTAATCATTGTATGTACCAATGCCACGAAGACAAAGTTATATTTAACACCAAGCCGATAGCAAAGGTAACAAAGCATTAACGGAACTCAACATGATACAAGTTAACTACGAACAGTGCAACATGACTCAAGGTCAACAGCTATAGTACATGAGAGCACAAGATTGGCATCAACATACAATATGGAGCAAGTTTGATATCTTCATCCAACTTACAACCAGATTTGTATTCACAATACAACATGACGTAAGTTTGACATCCACAATAAAACAACACAGAAGTTCTACATACACAATACAGCATGACATAAATTTGACATCAACATTACAACATGACACAAGGTTGACATTCACAATACGAGAAGCAAATTTAACATCCGAAGTACAACACGACAGACGTTCTACATGTACAATACAACATGACACAATGTTGACATCCACAATACAACATGACACAATGTTGACATCCACAATACAACATGACACAAGATTGACATCCACAATACAACATGACACAAAGTTGACATCCACAATACAGCATGACACAAGGTTTGACATCCACAATACAACATGACACAAGTTTGACATCAACAATACAACACGAATGAAGTTCTACATTCACAATACAGCATGTCATAAGTTTCACATCCACAATACAACATGACACAAGGTTGACATTAACAAATACAAAATAACGCAAGTTTGGCAACACAATACAGCATTCATAATAAACATGCCTTAAGTAAGACATTTACAATACAACAAACTACAGAAGGTGTACATCCAAAATACAACATGGCACCAGTTTGATATTCACAATACATCCTGCCAAAAGTTGTTCTATATTTACAATGCAACATAACATATGGTTGATATTCATATTACGACATGACTCAAGTTTTACGTCCACAATAAAACGAGACATAAGTTTAATATTCTTAATAAACATGTCTCAAGTTAGACATCCACAAAACAACATGACACAAGTTTGACATCTACAATACAACATGGCACAATACAAAATGAAACAAGTTTGACGTCCACAATAAAACGAGACACAATTTTGACATCCAAAATAATAAAATATAACATCAATTTGACATGCACTACAATATGTATCCAAGGATTCATTTCTGACAACTTATCAATAAATTCTAATATTTGTAAAATGAAATTAAAATGTTCAAAGCATACTTTAAAATGTCCAAAGCATACTTTAACTTTATAAATTTAATAAGTAAGCGTTTTATGTACTATAACAAATTGGCGTTACCTCCCCTTACCTCTTTAATTATATTTCAATGAATTAATGTATCGTTTTGCAGGATATGAATTGTATTCATGTACTAATTTTGGACTGAAAACGGAATAACTTGTTGCCAGATCCTATCAACATATGAAAAGTTCATGAAAGTAGTTGAAATTGAAATATATATGTTATACAGCATGAGACCAGTTTTACATCACAAACCAACGAGACATCGATTATATATCCACAAACCAATCTTAGCTCGACATGAAGAGTTCGACAGGACACCAATTATACATCAACAAAACAAGAGAACGCCAGCTGGACATTCAGAGTTCAAAAGGACACCGATTATACATCCACAAAGCAAAAGAACGTCAGCTGGACATTCACTGTTCAACAGGACACCAAGTATACATCCACAAAGCCAAAGAACGTCAGCTGGACATTCACAGTTCAACAGGACACCGATTATACATCCACAAAACAAAAGAACGTCAGCTGGACATTCAGAGTTCAACAGGACACCGATTATACATCCACAAAGCAAAAGAACGTCAGCTGGACATTCACTGTTCAACAGGACACCGATTATACATCCACAAAGCCAAAGAACGTCAGCTGGGCATTCACTGTTCAACAGGACACCAATTATACATCCACAAAGCCAAAGAACGTCAGCTGGACATTCACAGTTCAACAGGACACCGATTATACATCCACAAAACAAAAGAACGTCAGCTGGACATTCACAGTTCAACAGGACACCGATTATACATCCACAAAACAAAAGAACGTCAGCTGGACATTCACAGTTCAACAGGACACCGATTATACATCCACAAAGCCAAAGAACGTCAGCTGGACATTCACAGTTCAACAGGACACCGATTATACATCCACAAAGCAAAAGAATGTCAGCTGGACACTCACAGTTCAGCAGGACACCAATTATACATCCACAAAACAAAAGAACGCCAGCTGGACACTCACAGTTCAACAAGGCACCAATTATACATCCACAAAACAAAAGAACGTCAGCTGGACATTCACAGTTCAACAGGACACCGATTATACATCCACAAAACAAAAGAACGTCAGCTGGACATTCACAGTTCAACAGGACACCGATTATACATCCACAAAGCAAAAGAACGTCAGCTGGACATTCACAGTTCAACAGGACACCGATTATACATCCACAAAGCAAAAGAACGTCAGCTGGACATTCACAGTTCAACAGGACACCGATTATACATCCACAAAGCAAAAGAATGTCAGCTGGACACTCAAAGTTCAGCAGGACACCAATTATACATCCACAAAACAAAAGAACGCCAGCTGGACACTCACAGTTCAACAGGACACCAATTATACATCCACAAAGCAAAAGAACGTCAGCTGGACATTCACAGTTCAACAGGATACCAATTATACATCCACAAAGCAAAAGAAAGCCAGCTGGACACTCACAGTTCAACAGAACACCAATTATACATCCACAAAACAAAAGAACGCCAGCTGGACACTCACAGTCCAACAGGACACCAATTATACATCCACAAAACAAAAGAACGCCAGCTGGACATTCACAGTTCAACAGGACACCAATTATACATCCACAAAACAAAAGAACGCCAGCTGGACATTCACAGTTAAACAGGACACCGATTACACATCCACAAAACAAAAGAACGTCAGCTGGACATTCAGAGTTCACCAGGACACCGATTACGCATCAACAAATGAATAGATATT